CCCCATCCCCCCCCCAGTCCACTCCTCTTCTGTTTCTGCTTAGGAAAGGACAGGTCTCCCATGGTCACCAAAGGGCAAGGAGACCCAGTATGAGGAGTAGGGTTCTAAAGGCCAGTAGAAGAGTCAGAAGCAGCCCCTGTTCCCACTGTTAGGAGTCCCACAAGAGGAACAAGCTACACAACTGTAACATATATGCCAAATGGCCTAGGTCAGTTCCATGCAGGTTCCCCGATTCTTGGTTCAGTGAGACCTGTGAGTCCAAGTTAGTTGATTCTGGGAACCCTTCTGGCTCCTACAATCCTTTGCCCCCTCTTCTGCAGGATTCCCTGAGCTCTGCCTAAGGTTTGGCTGTGGGTCTGCATCTGTTTCCATCAGTTGCTGGATGAAGCCTCTCTGATGATAATTGGGCTGGGTGCCACTCTGTGGGTACAGCAGAATATAATTAGGTATAATTACACTGAGTCCTCCCACCCCAGTAGTGTTTGTTTCTATCCTGGGTTTCTCGCTGATCCAGTCTGTGGGTCCTGGTACTCCAGGCAGTGTCAGGGATGGGCTCACTCTCCTGGCATGGATATTAGGCTAGACCAGTCATTGGTTGGCCACTCCCTCAATCTCTAGGCCACCCTACCCCAGCACATCCCACAGGCAGGACAAACTTATAGGTCGAAGGTTATACAGTTGGGTTGGTTTCCTAATTCCTCCACTTGAAGTCTTCCCTGGTCACAGGAGATGGCCGGTTCAGGCTATGTATCTGCCATTGCTAAGAGTCTTAGTTAGGGTCATCCTTGCATATTCCTGGGAGATTCCCTTGCCCCAGGTTTTTACCTGGCACCGAAATGTCCCCCCTTTCCAACAGTCCCCTTCAGCACTCTCCCTCTCTGACCCCTGACCTTGATCTCTCATGTTCGCATCCTACCTGCCCGCCATCCACTCACAAAATCTCTTTTATTTTTCCTTCCCAGGGAGGTCTGGGCGTCTCCTCCTTGAACTCTTTTTGTTACCTAGTCTCTCTGGGGCTGTGGATTGTAGCATAGTTATCCTTAATTGTACAGCTACTATCCACTTATGAGTGCAATTTCTTTTTACTGTTTCCATTCTTTGGAATTTCAGTTTTTAGAGCTAAAGTAGTTTCTTTTGTTTCTTATTTTGTTCGATTTATTTATTTATTTATTTATTTATTTATTTATTTATTTGTGTGGAGTGTTTGCCTGCAATACCCATGGCGGTCAGAAGAGGGCATAGGATCCCCAGGAACTGGAGTCACAGAAGGTTACCAGCTGACATGGGTGTAAGGAATCAAACCTGGGTCCTCTGCAAGAGCAATTAGTGCTCTTAACCACTGAGCCATCTCTGTAGCCCCCGAAGTAGTTTCTTTTAGACAGGAGATAGTTGTCTTTCTTTCTTTCTTTCTTTCTTTCTTTCTTTCTTTCTTTCTTTCTTTCTTTCTTCCTTTCTTTCTTTTTTTTTTGAGACAGGGTTTCCCTGTGTATCCTAGGCTGGCCTTAACCTCACGACCTGCCTTTCTCTGTCTCCCAAGGGCTGACCAATTTAATCTTTCTATGTGAAGTGGCTATTATAAGAAGGGCTTCTGTTGTGTCCTATCTTTCATTATTTGATAACTTAAACAATGACTTCTTTTGCATGTGTTTGGTACTTTGCATTGTATCACTGTGGTCCCCTCATTTCTTTTTTTTGCATATTTTAAAGTTATTTTCTCAGTAGTTCCCATTTGGGTATAATGAACACTCCAGATAATCTAGTTTCGAAG